CATTGATGCTTCCTGAGTAAAATAATAATAATAATTAAATAAGGGTTTTAGGAACTAGCGTATTATTTATTTTACTGTGAGATCCTTCTAAATTAGGTGTTGCTTAAAATCAGTGCCATTTATATCATAGAAGCACTCGTATAATTCTAGATTTTTTGGGGGGGGGGGGGGAGGATAAAATACTTTTTGGTAAACATTTGTTGTTAAGTGCTCGTAAAAAAATGTAAATAACATCAGATTTCATGCAATCACAACTTCCACAAAATCAACATTTACCAATGCCTTAATCACGACCACATTTCCAAGCACAACTAGGGTTGTGCCATAATTGCCACAAAAACCAGCAGACCGCACTTAGGGGCATATTCCGTCCAGTGGAAGAACGAATCAACACTCTGATCCTAACAAAATTCAATTTGTGAACGGTATTCGCAGCCTGGATACCGGTTGAAGTTTTCTATGACAAATAATTCCAAAATACCGGTAATGAGCCGTATATATATATCAGCGATCGCCACAGCATATGGTGTAACTTCTATGAGAGTGGGGTTGTTTGGTTACGGCCTTTTCCCCCGTTAGACACCAAAAACCTGTTTTACTTTCCCAAAAGCTTAGAAGTCTCTCCAAACGTGAACAGCTTTTGGCCGATATCTTTGGAAGCTTTCCAGTGTCACCGGTGGCGCCCGTGTAGATTACTTCTCGTCTACGCCAACGAGCTGCAAACGTGCCTTCATGGGCCATTTGTGGATTTAAAATAACAATAACCTTTATTATTGCGTGTGCCGTGCCCCGCTAATGTGCAAGACGCTTCACGTTTACAAATGGCTCCGGGTCTTACATTGTCCATCACTGTCTGTGGAGTAAATTTTGTTGATTTTCTTTGGGCACACTTAGTGGAGCATTCGCCATATTTTACACATGAAGGAGAGATGTGCAAATGCACTGTGAAAACATTTTACTCATTCCTCCCGGCACTATGTGAGGTCTACAGGTGGGACCTTGGCTCTCGAGTCTGAGCCTCTGTGTGTCAACTTCTGCGTGTGCACGCTAGTGGGAAGATACTTGCGCTCACACTTGCGTAGAATGAATGTCCACCAGAAAAAAAGAGAGAACAATAACGCGGTTCATATGGGATGTTTAAGTCGATTGGGCTTAGCCTGGACTTGTTCTGGTCTTCATAGAGTGAGATTCCTCAGCTCTTAACATCATCAAACTGAGTAGGGCCAAAATGCGTAAACATTTCCAAAGCAATAACAAAAATAAGCGTGTGTGCACAATTTCGCTTCACGCGCAAAAAAAAAATTAAGGACTCTTTTGGCAGCGGCGTACAAGCGAAGGCCAAAGGGGGCACTGTCCAAAAATGTTCGGTAGCTATGCATTATGTTCACCTCCCTTCGCACCGCGTGTAGCCAACCGTACGTAGGTTTCTAGCTCTATGCATTTGGGCTCCGGTCACGGTGCAAAGACTCAGCGGAAGGGGAAATATTCGACGCTAAAGGCCACGCGGGTACAAGCTGCTGCCCACTGGCGTGTGATGCTGGGCACGACTCGGTCGCTCTCTCTCTCTCTCTCAAATTCCTCATAGTCGCAACAACCGCAGATCGCCTTCACGCGGCACGAGGTGCAAACGCAGCGAGATTCGACCGCGCCCCACCGCCCGGTGACTTTACTAAAAGGCCCCCGCCCGCCTCCGCACAGGTGCACGAGACAAAAGTGCAAAAGTGCAGCCCCGCAGTTGGCGCTCGGTGCCTCCGTACCCTCTCCCCCAGTCCCCACCACAAGCCAAGCGTGTCATGGGGAGCCCCCCACCTTGTTGAATTACTCATGCAAACAACGACAATGCGAACACGGCACTGAGTTGAACCTGCACTGAGGAACTGACGCGCGACTTGCCTCCGCCCCCCCCCCCCCCCCCCGAGAAGGATCACCATGTTACGCAAAATAATCAAACACCCTCTTCGTGGTTACCTTTTGTTCTTTGGTGTGCGATTTAGATTTTAAGTAGTTGTTTTTTTAGATATTCAATTGCACGCATATGTTTTCTCACCATTGGAAACACGAGACGCATTCTGTATATATATAAAAAAACACAAAAACTAAACTACGATAATAGGGCAGGCTGCAGAGAGGGGAACAATGCAGCTTTATGTTGTGCGTCGGTATTATAAAATGTCGCGGCTTGTTGTTGTGAGCGAAGAATTGACAATATTTCATTCGGGCCTTGCAATTCAATTATGACTTCATTAAAGAACAATTTAAAAAGGGCCTTCTGTATGATTGTTAAGATATAAATTGAAAATTTTCTCGGAGAAAATAAAATAAACGTAGGTATACGTGCATTACAGCATTTCCACAGTGGCGATACAGAGATAAATTTAAACATCCAAAAGATTTTTTTTTTAATTCTCGCTCAATAATCACGGGCTTCAACGGCAAAACGTCGAAGCACGCAGAACCCGGAGCGCTTCGTTAGCGACCGACGGAGGGGAGGCCACGAGCGTGGCCGATTGGCAAATGCTCGCATGCCGCGTTACTCGTGAGCCTTTTGTCCTGACAACGTTCTTAAATTATGGTAATTTATAGGAAACACTAGAAAGACAGACACGTCTCGGGAGATGCATTTGGGCAGCAGGGGCAGACGGTGGAGGGGAGGGAGTGCAATGTAAGCAGAGGAGGAGAGGGGAGGGGGGTGCCGGGGGTTTGCAGAAAATGACATGATGGGAAGATTAAAAAAATCCAGTATGCCCCTGTCATCTGGATAAGGGTTTCTTTGCACAATGATGTGCATTTTTTTTTGCACTTAAATTAAAATGGGTAAGTGTGTGTATCAGGGGACACAACAGTGCGATAAGCACCAATGTTTAAAAATACATCAGCGGGATTTACTCTGTAAGCCTCCTACAAAGGTTAGAGCAACCGATGTTATGTCAAATCATTATATTTGAGATTTCAAATCTATTATGCTGCCATGTACCCATCAAAGAAGCTCCCGCTCCACCCGCATCCATTTCCCTTTTTCATCTTTTAAAGCTTTAAAGTACAGGAGCAGGGCTGTGATGCATTTTGTTAATACAGTCATTAACTCTACATGTATTTGCATCTTATCATAGCTTCGCTGCATAATCCAAGAAACCTTTTTTTGGGAGGCAAAATGCATTTTAAAGCATCCTGTGATACCCACTGCAGCCTTTGATCAAAAGCTCTAAACAGGCGTGGAGATGTCTGCCGTGGAGTGAAGTGTAAATGCGATTATTTTTCTTTTTACTACGACAAGATCCCAGGCTGTCGACAACTCACACTTACTACGATTGCAGCTGCACTCCGGTCGGACGGGCAGAGCCGTGCAACAGTGGAACGAACGATTGACGAAAAAAAAACCCTGCGGTGCACGGAAGCTGCGTTCCTTATTCTGACGCTGCTCAATATGATGGCATTCGGGGGTTCCACCTCCGGCAGCGACAGCCGCGACCCGTCACGGTCACCGAAGTGTACATTTAGCTGCAAAACCGCTGCTCTGTAAGAGTGATGGAGTGGGGGGGGGGGGTTACGTTCAAATTCAATATCGCGCAACATTTTTTTAAGGTTTTTCTATGAATATGTAAATCAAAATAGATTTTTTTTTAAAGTTTCCTGTTCCTTCCACCTCAAAAAAAACCCCATTACATTCTGGGCGATATATCTTTCAGCTGTGGCAAAGAGCCCATTTCAGACATCCCTTGGAAAAAAAAGGTAATTTTTGTAAATTCCCCTGACTCATTACGGCTAACTAACTTCAGATGTAGTGCTCCAACAGCCAATCGTCTAATAAGTTTGAAGGTAAGCAAACGTGAAAATAAATCGAGGGAAAGGGGAAACGTCATTGCTTGTGCTAGAGCCACGCCCGCCCGCCGCCCGCTCCCCGTGCAAACGGCTGCTTATCTCGCGGGCGAAATATGAAAGCCAGCCGAGCGGCCATTAAATCAGGGATACACTCCCGCGGCAGAAAATGAGATTCTCTGCGTGACGCAGGCGAAAGCCATTTTGTCTCAATTCTCCCATTTTGCATGAACGAGGCCGGGGCTCTGCCATTACGCGCGATGCAATAAGCCATGTGCTTTGTGCCCGAGAGAGAGAGAAAATAGAGAACCATCTATTGCACAGCGAAGGAGTTCTGATACGTTTTTACGAGACCTATAAAGCCATTGGAGCCATCTCCAAGGGATATTAATGTCACTTGCTTAATTAAAGTGTATTTTAAAATACATTTGCATTTTTTAAATAATTACAGTGCTTAAGTCCAAGACATTTTGACCATCTCAAATGGGCCTAAATGGTACAGTATTGAATGAGTGATTTAAAAAAGAAAATGTAATAAAATAAGCAATGGCATACAATCTAATGCTACGGTGTTACTAATGTAAATTGTTTAATGTAGGGAAATAATGCAGTCATGTTTTCCTCATAAAAAACCAAAACATATTGGGTTTGTATTGGACGGCAGGCTGTGTACACCGTGTTTACACGGTTGTGTACAAACCGTGCCAATAGAAGACACATACAATGATCCAGGTAGTAACTTGGAAGAAATTTTAAACGAAAGCTTTCCATGCCGTGGACGTTCCTCACATATTTCACTCAACGTCACCGCGAAGAGACTAACAAAGCTCAAAGTGGACAGAACCAGAGGACAGCTGTGTGCAATGCTGCCCACACAATGAAACGTGGTGCACTCACCTTACACCGTGGCAATATACGCACCAAGCACTGCACTCACTCTGGAGCTCTCCATGCAAAGACGCTCACTGGCCGGTGCACTCCATATTTATATTGAACTTCTTTCGCAACGTACGCAGTCAACCGTGCTAACCGGAGGCGCTTCGTCATCAAAGCCATTAAGTTCAGCAAACCCAGGCAGAGTCCACTTCCGAGCACTCACTCCAGCAGGCGCTGGCTGCGTCTTTGTGTGACCGGGAGACTGAACTGGTGGCAGCTCTGCGTGGTGTCCCGACCCAAATCTGTACCTGTCTCTTTCTCAGACGCTTTCTCCTCCTCTCCCCACGGCTCCTTGGCCACCTCCTTGTCCAGTGCGGCAGGGTCTGCACTACCTTTGGCATCTTCTGTTTGGTTATCTGTGGGATACAAATGCGCACAACCCCGGTAACTAAACGTTGACGAATGTGGGAGAAGCCGTCAAACGAAAATATAAATTTTAGAATTTTTTTTGGAACAATAAACTTTTGCGGACAAATCTAAACGTGCTGTCAACTGCAAACAGATTTGGTAAAATTCAGTTTCATAAAAAGATAAGATATTGTACGCGTTTAAGAATTAGGAAAAAAAGAATATGCTTCTATAACAATATTTGGAAAATTACGTCTGAAAAAAAGACGTTAAATGTAGCTGGTGACGAAGAGTAAAATTGCCCATCGTGTAAAAAAATACGACAAACAAACAACCTTGAACACAACATTCATACGGAGCTGTAAAAACAACAACAATGACACTGGTAGGCAGTCCACACGAGTGGCAGAGATGTTGCTGCTACTACTGCCCATTGCTGGCGCAAGCTCGTCACGGGGCACGCCCGCTCGCCTACAGGGGGCACTATGACGGCACTTTGCTCGGAAACGACACAAAAGCAGGACCGCGCAAACGGCACAAGGCGCCTTCGCCACCGACACACAACAAGAAAATGCCCCGCGTGAAATACTGTCCCTGCTTTTCACGCCGCCCAGTGGAAATAAAGCCGCTGAAAAGCGGCGCCTTTGTGCGTGGCATGAAGTGTTTGTAGTTTAATCGGCGCGCGTGGATGCCTAATGACAGCGGTTCAAACAAAAGCAACTTTGGCCCGGGCTGTCTGCCCAGGTCCACCACCGACCACCACCACCATCACATCACGCCTCCCCCCATGCAACAGGGTCTGACGCCCGCCCATCCCCCTGGGGGGATTAAGCGTGGGGATTACATATGTAAATATACACATTGTGCATTACACAAACACCTCTACACCAACACACACAAACGCGCACTCGCAGGGGTGGTCTTAATTTTCTAATCTGTTCTGCGCGGCAGCAGAAAGCATTTGGGCAAAAAAGCTGATTAATATATTTCCTTCCCCCATCCCCTCCCTCGCCTCTCCACAATAAAGTGCAATTGGTTGACGACATAATCTTGAGCGGCAATCTATTCTTTGCGCAAATGCTCCATAATTGGGTGAGACATTTTCTAGGGAGAGCAAATAATTCTCATAATGAATGACTGGTGCAGCAGCAGCAACATCAAAGAGCACCCTCTCTCTCTCTCTCTTGCAGACATTTGCCAATAAATATTTATGGAACACAAATAGATTTCATTGCATTATTCTCAAAGCACCGACGTGACATGACCATCCTGACCTAAATGCAACCCAATTATATTTCACCTGCGCTTACGCAATGCGTCGTTTAAGACGAACAAAAATGTTTTCCTGCTTGCATAATAAAAATCGCACGAAATTGTGCCCGATGAAAATTGGCAGAAAGTGCGATGCAAATCCCTTGAACGAGATCGCCCCCTGATTCGTCGTTATGATCGATGTTGCTATGAGAGCCTCGAGTGCGAGTCTTTAACGTTGTTGCCCCTCGTGGGCAGCCTAACATGTGCTTGCATGCTTCACGGGTGCGTCCAGAGCGTATCCGCGAAGCTCAATTGATGGGAGGATGACGCCTGTAAGTGGCGCTGAGGAACCCACATATGTGGTTTTAAATAATGGGAATCTTTATTTATCCTGGAGGAATGCGATGAGCTATGAAGCTCTTATTTTTTTCCACAAATGTCCAGTAGGAGCAAGGGGTCAGAAAGTTATAACAAACAATATGACAAAAAACAAAACTATTGGAGTGCAAAGTATGGGAAAGGGAAGCGAACCGGTGAAAATAAATATCTAAAATGGATCAAGTATCTAAGTTCGATTTGAATAAGTGCACTAATCCCCAAAGCTTGGGCAAGGCAGCAAAACATTAGAAAGACATTCTTGGTTCTTTCGGTAAAGTCACGTAGAAGGGAAGTAATAAAATAATAAAAATATCAAACAATAAAAAATTCTCACGACGTTTCGACTGCAACACAAGCAATCATTATCGGGTGTGAAATCCACAGCAAGAAAATTTTCTTGCTGAAAATTTTATTGCTGTGGATTTTCTTGCTGTGGATTTCACACCTGATGATGATTGCTTGTGTTGCAGTCGAAACGTCGTGATCATTTTTTATTGTTTTATATTTTTATTATTTCCCTTCTACGTGACTTTACCGAAAGAACCAAGAATATGAATCCCTGCAGTCACGAAAGCTTTAAATCAAAATAGAAGAACAGTCCCAAATAACCAAGACCAAAATCACTCTTGCAGAAGACTGAATCACCTCAATATGTAAAACGTAAGATCCTTTCATGTACGTTCAGAATTCCAAGTTCCGATAATTAAAACGTTCGGTTAAGCCTTTGAAAGTTATGCCATTTTATCGGTTTTTTTTTAGCAATTACAAACCCATTTTTTCCCGCCTAATACTGCATTTGCTTCATCCTATCGATTATAATTGACAGAGATATCAGTGAAAGTTATTTCTAGGCTCCAAAGTTTTCCAAAGCCAATCCCGGCCTCACAGCATCCAGATTATTTCCACTCCAGACCAACAATATTCATGTAGGAAGCCCAACCACTCTACAGCTACATTCTGTCTGACAATTCGTGAATGTAACAAAAATAATCACAAGACATAATTTCGTAAAGATTTCTATTTTCTTTTCGTCAATAAGGGCCGTGCTAAGATGTTTGCAATTTAAGAGAAAAATAAGGATAAGGTACTTGGTGCGGCTGTAAGTCAAGAAGCTAATGCCACAAACTTGCGATGAGAGATCTGGATGATCCATAATAAACGTTTTTTTTTGGGTTAGATCGCGTAAATATAAACGCGTCGTTAAACCCGCCATCACCAGACACAGCCAATTAGTAAGGTTTGTCACATAAACAAAATGTGGCAATTTGTTACTGTTGCAGAGTAAACCCCGACATTTGCAATTCGAGTAGGACGTTTCACCAATCATCACAACCAGCCTTACGTTTTCTTCACATGACAAGCCTCTTACTTATTGGCTGCGTCGGGTGGTGGCGGTTTTAACGACACGTTTATATTCACGCGATCTAACCCCAATACAAACCCCATCTTTTATGGATAACATCGGTCGTGAAAAGCCTGCGTCGCTGAACAGATCTGGATGATGTGGCAGCCCCCCCCGGTGTGCGCAGCCCGTATTAGAAGCATAGTGCTCAGTCGGGGGGGGGGGGGGGGTGGCAGTTGTGCATTGGAGGGCAATTGAAAGCTGACCCCATCGCGTGGTGGCAGCGTTTTTTTTATTGGTACACCTGGGACGTTGTGCTGCGGCGCTGGCGTGGACGCATTTACCTCGTGCAAAGAGGGGGGCTGTCGCGATGGAGAAAGCAACGCTCACAGAACGCACCCCCCCCCCCCCGTTCATCCTGCACTGGGGTATTTGCCACTTCCCCCCACCCCTCCCTCAAGCTCTGATTAACACGGTTGGCTACGTACGATGCGAAAGAAATTCAACATACGTACGTACATACCAAATCATATCGTCACGTTGTTTGCTGTTCGCGCTGATCATGAAGACTCTGTGTTTCCCAGGCCAGCATCGACTGTGGGAGTTCCACAGGAAGGGGGCGATGTTTGCCTTTTTCGCCTCTACATCGGCACATGAGGCCTACTATTTGAGTTTTTTAATTAACACCACAGGACCTTTAATATCCACTGTTAAGCAGACAGCGCTAGGTATGTGTTTTGTTTGTTTATACACCCATAGTATTAACCAGGGCAGCTGCTGGTTTTGAACCATGAGCACCGTGTGAACTGAGCGGCGCTGCCGCTCGGGCCCGTGGCGTGTGAACGCTCCTTGAGTAAAACGCTGCATGCAGGGTTTCAAACGAGAAACTGACCAAACACTAGGACTTAATCAAATCGAGATTCACGCTACGCGAACCTATGGATCTTAAATACCACGGCATTAGTAGAACATCGGGCCGCCTTGTATTGGTGGAAATCTTCACACTGCCCTAAGCTTAACTCCAAAACATAAGAGCTGATTTCCAAGATACATATGGCCACGATCAGAGAAGCATAACCTAGCCAATTTAAAAAAATGGCTTAAACGAATGAATAGTGTTGGAAACATAAAATAAAATGTTGCGTGAGATTTTGGGAACGATTTCCTCTGTTGATGGTCCTCCCAACAGGTGGTGGAAATTCCACATGCCCATGGCAGGAGCCAGAAATGATTTTGCCAAGTCAAAAACAGATGACTTGTTGAATGTGCCCTCCTCCAGCATTTGAACCTGAAACCTCATTTGTTCTGTGCTTTTTACCACAAATCCATTTGGCTACAGTCACTTAAAGGGTTAATGCACGAGCATTAAATGCATTATACTATGTAAACTGTGGCAAATAAGCTTTGGTAGTGAAGCACATGTTTTTGCCCCTGTAATGGGCTTCGGATTGTGATAGCGCGGAGCGTGGCAAGGCCCTACTCAACCCCCCAGTGCAACCACGATAGAACAACAGCCCATCATGGACAGCGCACCACGATGGACAGCGCAACATCACACGTTTCGGTAAAGCTGGCAGATAAACAATTTGTTTTGTAGGGTATGCAATAAAACTTCCAATGCATTTCATGTTCATGCACGTAAGCAGCTATAATATTTGACTCCTCTTACCTTCCGCATTTCTTATCAATAACTGCAGCTGCCCAGCATCATAAAATCATCGTAGATAGGAGCTCTACCGTCGTTTATTGTGTTTGTACTACAACACGTAAATATTTACAAGGTATTTTTATGAAAAAAATGTAAGGATTTTGTGAAGGTTAACAAAAACATCTAACATAGGTTGATTTTGTGATCAATGGAAAGCGAGACATTGGTGCCGTGAGTCTTGCTAGCATTCAAGAGCTTATGGAATGAAATGCCGCTGAGGTTGTTCGAACAGCAGCGTGAGGGAAAGACAAAGGTGGCCGAGCCATGCACGAGGCCCAGTATCGTCCGTTGTACAAGACGATAATTGACCTCATCGCCGGGGCCGA